CGCAGAGCCGTTGCATAAAGTAAGCTTTGACATCAAGTGATAGTTCTAAAGCGATATCTTCCTTACGTCTGCGAATAGTGCCGGTTCACTCACTTTTCCGCATGATATTGATGCGCTGTTGTTCTGGTTGGGGAAAAAGCTGCCTAAAGCCAGAATAAGGAAGTGATATTTACCAACAGAATCTCATAACGCTCGGGAATGAAAGCGCCCCGGTAACAGCGATGTAAACCGCTCAGCCGCCAGACTAATAATTTATTTTTACTTCCTTTTTTATTTATTGAATATACAAATGTACAGTCAACTTTCAGGAAGGGGGTTGCGGCCATACAAAAGCTACCTGGGGAATGCAGAAATAAGGGAGCAGTTCGAACCCGTGACCTAACCACTTGGCCACCACCGCCCAGAGTCAAACAAGGAAGGTGGGGTTCGAACACACCTCCCCCGAAGCGATAATTTGATGTCTACCACTTAGTCACCACCGCATGATTTGTTTACATCCGAGGGTTGTCTCATGATCTCTATATCTTCCATCTCAGCATTTCTAATGTGAGATAATTTATATCCTCCTGTATTTCACCAGGTTTAATGTAGAGCATAAGTGATCAAACTGGTCATAGCTTGATATAGTCAAACCACATTGAAAATGCTATGCACACAACAACGTTCATTGCATTCATTTGCTTCGTATACGATAATAATAGTTATCGAGTCCATATTTGGTATACTGTCACCGACAGTACGGAGAAGAACCTAATTCGTTCACCTAAGTTGATCAGGTCAGGGCAGTGGTCTCAATAAACTGTCTATTTTGTATGAGCTAACCGAATCACGTGATTGCTCCGTGTCAAATTCCCATTTTGAATGATGTAACATATTGCCTGGTCCATCCCTGTCTCCTCTTTGTTTCTGTTTAGCTCTGATTGCACACCAGACAACAATTCAAGTATATCGTGTCCGTTGAATCGCTGCATATTCCGAACCCATCATAAATGTTCTATTGATATAGGATTCCGCTGTTAACAGACGCATTGTATCAAAAAACATTTGGCATGAAGGATATATTGACGAGATCGTAGTTGGGTTTATCTGCTTATTGTTTTTCATAAGTCTACTACACAGCAATAGATAAAAAAACTCCAAATGAATGATTGTATTATTTGTCCTGCCAAAATATACTTAAATTCCTTCGTTATCTGGCTATCAATTTTCATTGACTTTCATGTGAAATTAAGGCCTTCAGATAGGTGTTGCCGAAGAATGTATTCAAACAATTTTTTCCCCTTTACAAATTCACGTAGTCGGCTGCAAAAATTGGGTAGAGGGAATGCACATATAGATTCGATGACGTGTAAAGCCCATATGATAAGCTTGCCTTCTTGTGTTTTCTCTCCAAACACAAATTAGCGAAGTAGTGTTATGTGATATAAGTTAATAGATAAATTAGATTGATAGATTAGTTTGTTGACCGGTGCAATTGTTTGACTGTTGCATCGTAGATAACCCTAATCTTGAAATATGGTGTGATTAATCACATGAACTCCTCATTGAGGAAACTCGGAATTTACGATCGACAATATAAAGTTCGGTAATCTATCTGATGTGGTTTTGAATTCCATCCCACATTATCCTCACTAATGTGACTAAGGGTTAAACGACCTCCTGTCTCAGAGCAATCGCTCATGTGTAGAAAGAAAGGACAGTTACTCCTTACTTGGTTGAGTATCCCGTCAACGTCACTCATTTTTCAACCATTCTCGCCGCAACGACGTTCGGGAGTACATAGTGTATCCTTCATCAGTATTATCTAGATCTTCTATCTGGGACTCTGTTGTCTAAGTGACGTATTTTTAACCTAAGCGACAGACTGGAATTTCCCTCAAGGTAACAGGTACAAATCGTGCTGTTTTCACCCCCTCGTTCATGATAATTGGTATACTTACAGACCTGTTACAATCGACTTGATTTTTTTGCTTCTTTTGTTCTCGGTTTGTAGAAAGATACCGAATCAAAATTGATCGAAATGGACGGTTTATGCGTCACCTGGCTCGCGGACTTGGAAAAGAGCGATTTTATCAGTTCTCAACCGGTAACTCACATTTTGTGTCCCAGTTAATTTATCTATTAGACTCTCACTTTAGGATATTATTTCCCTTCCCACTACCCACTAACATCAGACCCGTTTCTCTCGCTGTTGCGCCTATGTTTCATGAAAAATCTGTAGCCAAGTTCACATCGATGCACGCATATCGCACTTCAAACGTCTCCACGCATCTGCAACTGGTTTCTAGTGCCAAAAGCATCCGTTAAGATAAGCCTGTTTTGGAGTATATGAATAAATAGGAAGGGACAGTGACTGTTTCTCTTCTATGTGTTGGAAGTTTTCCTTGTCAGTTCCGGTTCCAGCTTAGTAGTGATTGAGAATTATGTGAGTACAAGTCAACCCTTGAAACTTTGCTTCATGCTTTCACTCAAAACAAAAAAAGCGGATCACAGTGTTTATTGTATGCTACAATAAAAGCACGTTTCATTGGTTTCCCCACGAAGCCGAGTGACTATAGACAGCACCTGGTGTAGATATTTTGTTACGCCATCCCCACCACCACACACAATGCGACGTTCATGTCACATGCACACCGTTAGAGTAAGAGATAACTTTGGACTCCTAACCCCAAGAATTATGCTACCGGTTTTCAATATCTGATGGTGCTTTCTTGCACTGAAGTGTGAGATAAAAGTACAACTATAGCCAAGAAATATGGACCTTTCCTGTTTGTCCTCTTCGGGCAACGTACGCTCGATCTAGTTTCACCTTCATGCCATTTTGGCACGGTGAATACGACTTTTTGCCTATTAGCTTTCCTCGACAGCCGTCTGCCGCAGTTTCAGTTTCCAGTAACAGTGTTTTAGAGGTTATGCTTTTATCATCCTCCGATATGTCTTTAACATTTCAAAAGTCGCTCTTCCAATCTTTGGTTCTCTATTTTGATTAACCCTTGTTCGTGAATGAGGGTTATTTTTGCTGATAAACTTATTTTATGATCAAAGATTGAACACTTCTGCTCTGGTTCATTGAGGCAGAAACAAACAGTTTTTCATAGCTTCTTTACGAATTAAATGTGGCAGAATAATGATAGCTTTCGAATTGGTTTACTTGCCTCCGTGATTCGAGGGATTTTCCTTACTTCATTGGGAAATGTTTTCTGTGTTCTTTCTCCTCGTCAATTGATTATATGACCACCCGATTCAGGCCGCATCAACGTCAAAGGATGCATCAGATGTTTTATACGTACTCCCTCCCATTCGCCTCTCTGGTTCTCTGGAACGGATTCGTGTACCGGCAGAACACGCTGTACGTATTGCGTTCCGTACCACTTTGGGTCAACTGCGCATGCAATTCTCGCGTGAATTCTCACGAGCTGCTGTTCAGCTGTCCGAATTCACAACGTACGAACGACGACGATTGGAACAGTATGGTCGACGTCCTGCCGTTTCAGTCCGTCAGAGGTGGGAAGCTATTCCGTGCAATGCATCTTTCGGTTAAAAACCGATGTGTATTTGTGTGTGTGGGGGGGTGCGCTTGTTTGCATGTGTTGTATCACGTTGTGGGTAGGTGGCCACACATGGCCTTGGTTTTCCAAGCCTATCAAATGCTCCTTCCCGTACAATCGGTCTAGAATATCCAACTTTAGCATTACTCACGTGACATTTGTCTCATGTTTGTAGTTTTTTTTCGTTAAGCGGGGAAAGTGTCGGTTGGTTTTTAAACTGATCTGTTATCCTGCGAACCACTTTATAATTTGATTATCCGCACCATTCGTTCTATCTCTGTTATGTAATTGAGTGAAACGGCCTACAGAAACCGAACCACCCTCACGGTTTATTATTATTTATCACCAGTTTCAGTCAGTTTAGTTTATACAATCATTAACCATGCACTATCGTGCGCCGGTTTTGGTTGCTGTCTTTTGGCCGCCCATTTGGTTGAACATTAGGAGAAAGACAGGAAAGATCGAAAGTAGAATCCAAGGGAAAATTTGGATTTTCAGTGGACTAATGTTGCAATGAAATTGACAAGATGCAAGAACGCCACCGGCTTATGAGTAAGCTTAATGCCAACTCAACAACAAGAATAGCAGAAAATGGAGGGTTGGGAGACATAACAGAATAACCGGGGGTCAGATAGATAAGTTGAATGAAGAAAATAACACCGTACACTTTTTGGTGTTTTGTGTGTTAATTTATCGTTTTTCAATAATTTGAGCTGACTATCCTTCGGACTTCACCTTCACGCACAATCCTCAGTTCATCGATTCAATTACACACTCGGAAGCACTAGACTCGAGTTTCGCTGTTATTAGAGCTCATCAGTAGTGCATACCCACCGTCCTGTCCGGGATTTGAACGTTGTATGGTTGAATCGATGAACTGAGGATTGTGCGTGAAGGTGAAGTTCGAAGGATAGTCAGCTCAAATTATTAAAAACCAATTATCCCACACCACTACTCACCAGTAACTGTGAGTCAAACTTGAACTTATCGTTTTTCTCTGTTCCGCGGGATTTCAACAGGTACGCCGTACAGCACTCCAATCTCTTAGCGTCTCTAACCAACGGCAGTCGTCACTCCTTGGACCCCAACCTGGAAGACAAATCTAAAGCTGGTCTCTTCATACCCTACACCATGCCATGTTTTGGCCACCGTTGCGCTTCTTCCACTCTTGCCCAGCTCGTGCGAAGAAGGTAGCCGATGGGCAGGCTTATGCAAAATGTGATCAAACCATCAGAGNGAGACGGCGTAGAGCGATTACTTCTTTTAGAAATGGATTATGCACACCCAGCGCATGACGACAGACCTCGTCATTGCTCATCCGATGTTCCCACCAGACACGAGCAATGCTTCAGAGACATCGGTGGTCGAATGCAGAAAGTCGATTGGCATCCTCCACTCGGAGAGGCCAGGTCTCGCAACCGTAAAGCAGAACACTACGAACTGCGGCGGTGTACACCCTTCCCTCAAGGGACTGTCGGATGTCATGGTAGCGCCGCAGTTGTCGTAGGCTGGCGAAAGCTGCTCTAGCTTTCGCTATTCGTGATGTGATCTCTCCCCGACACCAACACCAGCTGCAATCAAGCTCCCGAGGTACTTAAAGCTCTCAACTACTTCTAGCTGAACACCACAGAAGGTGAGCGCAGGCACAGGCTCCTGCCAGTCTTGAACAAGCACTTTGCACTTGGAAGGTACAAAGCACATACCATACCTGGATATCTCTATCGCCAAGCGGTTCAAAGGGTTTTGGACTGCCTGTGCGTTGTCACCTAGCAAGGCGATGTCATTGGCATACTCCAAGTCAAGAACTCTATTCCCTGGGAGGAGTTCGACTCCGCCGTTTGCTAGACCGGACAAAGCATTCTGTAGAACATCCTCTATGACAAAATTGAAAGGGAATAGGGATACAGGGCAGCCTTATCGAACTCTACTGGAGACGGCGAAGAGTAGCGAAAGTTGGCCGTAGGCCCTAATCCGATCTGAGGTATGATGATACAACTCTTTGAGGATCGACACACTTCTCAGGTACTCCATTCCTCAACAAACAGTTCTCCATAGTGCGGTCCTATCGACAGAGTCGAAAGCCGCGCGAATGTCTAAGAATACAATGACTGTTGGTCTTTGGTGGGCATGACGGTTTTCTAGCAGTTGTCGGAGGGTGAAGATTTGATCGATGCATCCACGACCAGCGCGAACCCCAGCCTGTTCCTCACGGGTCTGCTCTTCACACGTGGTGTACAATCGGCGGAGAATGACAGATGCCAACAGCTTCGACGCTATCGGGATCAGGCTTATGCTCCTGTGATTGGTGCAGTCATTGCGCGGGCCCTTTTGAAGATGGGGACAACAATCGATTCCCCCACGAGGAGGGGATTTGCTCAGTGTTCCACACTTTGGAGAACAGGATGTGGAGTTCTCTAACGAGCTTTATTCTACCATCTTTACATAAAGCAGGGGGAAGGCCATCGGAGCCCGGCGCTTTGTGAAGACCCAAGGCTTGGATCTCCTTACGGATTTGCGCCTCAAAAGGTGGGTCTGTTGTGACAGATCATGGGACGTGTGCCGGGATAGCTGTGTGAGGAGCTGACTCTGTGGGCCAGCTAAACTGTACTTTGAAGTGCTCCGCCCAGCGTTCGAGACGTTGATTGTGAATGGGCGAACCATCAGCTTCGCAGATTGTTTCGCTCACACCTAAGGCTTTCCTACCGGTGACCCAGATGAGATGAAACAGCTTACGGGATTTTCCCATGGCGGCAGCACGTTCCATCTCTGACGCGCGT